CCATCATCAGTTATCAGGAGAGCAGACAGTCAAAGTACAAGAATTCAAACAAACACAGAGATTCTACTTACAGAGCAGACACAGCACAGATGTTTCCTTCATCGTCCTTCTCACTCATTTGAGCTTTTTTTCATTTCTCTCACTGACACCAAGTAAAGCCCGCCCTCTTCCTCTGAGTACCAGCTTTCTATTGGCTCAAACACAGAGGTGGGGGACTCACTTATTTTCCTCTGAAGCTGTCTTGTTCCTTTGTTAGTACAGAGACAGTTGGTACAACTACGCTACCAGCGATAGTGATGCATGAATCTCAACTTCATTAACAAAACTACTCTGAAATACACAGACAGTCCCATTGCCCGTGCATTTAAAAACATTAAATGTTTTATGTGAGGATTAATAAATCACATCATACTCAGTGAAACTTCTGAGTTTATTCACAAACGTTAAAGAGAATAAAGTTGTCTCTGTTCTCAGTGATCTGTAGTTTGGTTGATGAACAAATCCATTTCCATGCTGTTGGAGCTTAGACAGTTTAGGCCATATTTAAGTATTGTTATGATCTTTAATTTGAGTTTCTAGTTATAATCTTGATTGTTTTATGTTGTAATGTAATATAATATGCTCCACAACTTTGTTAATCTGTTGGCTTGTGTTAAAGTGTTGGTAGGTGTCGTGAAGTGGGTGTGTGAGGCACGAGCGGGTGATGAAAGGTTCAGCAAGTAAGCAGGACGTGGAGCAACAGTTTTATGAGTTGGGAGGTCAGCTTTTCAGCTGCTTCTCCACTCCTAACTCCTAGCTCTCTCGAGCCCCTGTGTCATTGAAATAGGGACAGTCTGATTACTGAGTGGCAGCAACTGCCCCGCCAGCCACCCTGGCACTGTCACTTGAGCCCACTGCACCACCTCCTCCACTGCAGTGGAGCCAGAGACCGCACCAACTTACCCCTACCACAGTCCCCTTGTCTCCTCTGTTTCCTGTCTTTGACCTGATTGCCTTTAATTAAAAATAGATAAAACATCTTGACATCCTTAGATTTTAAACCTTGTTTTAAAGTTGACTAATCTCCATCATGAACAGTTTTGTTAAAGTCCACAAACGGCAGCATCTTATGATGTCAGGTGTAACAGAGATAATGACATTTTTCATATTTACAGACACTTAAATAAATTAGTGTGACAGATATCAGAGCTCACTCACAGGAGTCCTCCCTCCATGGTCTGTATATTCCAGCTGTGGCCACGCCTCTTTTCTACCTGAAGGTAATGGACTCCTTAAGGATCAACCTTTGCATGATTCCAGCTCCTCCTGCAGCCTCCTCTCTCCTTCTGCCAGGAAATCTGAGCTCCAGTTTCAGTGAGACTGTATCTAGATGTTACTGATTAGCAGGTATCCGTGTGAGGATATTCACCAGAAGCCTCTCCCACTTGCACTGTGCTCCTGCAGCTTATATTACCTCTGGAGGGTAATTGGTGGTAAATGAGGGCAGATAAGCAGCAGGTGTGTCCTAAAGGAGAAGTCAGGGGCAGAGAGAGACAAGGGGAGGGACAAGAAAGAAGGAGGAGGAGAGGAAGAGGACAACACCACGCCCACACACTCCCACAGCCTCACAGGACGTAACACCTCAGTATATGAGAAAAATCCACAGTGTTAATAACAAACACACAGAGACATCAAATCTACATTTAAATCTGTGGGGACATGTAACATGATAAACTTCACATGATTTATCTTCTCTGCCAATGACACAAATTAAAAAAGGAATAATTTAAAGTGAAGAAACGAGCACAGCATCCCAGGATGAAAAGATGGTCTCCAAACTGATGGGTCACAATCCTTTTATTGAACAGCCTTGAATGTGATCACACCGTAAAAGCTACAAAATGTACACAATAAAATTACCATTGGTAACTCAAACCTTTAACCTTTTTCCTTATTAATCATAAGTGAATTCATTACTTTAAATGATTACACCTTTAACCCTTTAAGACCTACCATAGAACCAAGTCCGCCAGAGCTTATATTATAT